GCAGTTTGAAAAAAACCAGAGAAGTAGCAAAACGATGTGAATGTTCCACCAAGGTTATGGTGACAACAAATAAATGATTAAATAAATGCAATTTGTAATGTGGGCTTCACAACAAAATACCCTCACCTCTAAAAGGGCTATGATACAGCTATGGAACGTAAAAGCAAATTTTGTAGAATGGCAATTGCGTCATGCTTCTGTCTAATATGTGTTTTATTTTTGTGTTTTAACAGTTTACAATTGATATGAGTTGTTGTGGTCTCCCACACCACTTCAATCAGTAAATCATAGCTTAGTCAGGGAAGATGTCATTGCAAGACATAACATAAAACTGTGTAAACCATGTACCAGTTATACTCAATTGTCTGAAATCGGTAGGCACACATCCTCCTAGTAGAAGACAGTATAGGTCTATACCGACAGCGTGTATAATGAGTATTTATTTCTTATCCATTGGAAATCTGTCTCATACTGGGTCCTAAAGAGCTCCCTAAATGAAAATCTAACTGAAATTAGCCATCATGCACAAACTGACATTTCTTTTGCAAATATTGGTTGTAAATATATCAAAATCTATGTACGAATAAAGCTCAAAGAACAAAGAACGAAACAGCATAGGGACAGGCCCTTCGGCCCTCCAAGCCTGTCCCAACACATTTCGCCTTTCCATACTAAAACTGTCTTCAATTACAGGATCTGTATCCCTCTATTCCCTTCCTATTCATTTATTCGTCCAGGTGCTCCCTGAATGCTGCTATTGTGTCTGCTTCCACCACCTCCTCTGGCAGCATGTTCCAGGCACTCACCACACTTTGTGTGAAAAACTTGCCTCGCACATCTCTTTTAAACTTCCCCCCTTGCACTTTGAACCTATGTCCCCTAGTAAGTGACCCTTCCACTCTGGGAAAAAAGCTTCATACTTTCCACTCTATCCATGCCATTCACAATCTCATTAACTTCTCTTAGGTCGTCCCTCAACCTCCTGTGTTCCAGTGAAAACAAACCCAGTCTATCCAACCTTTTTTCATAGCTAAAATCCCCAATATCAGGCTACATTCTGGTAAACCTTTTCTGTACCCTCTCCAAAGTATTCACATCTTTCTGGTAGTGTGGTGACCAGTACAGTATGCAATATCCAAATGTGGCCTAAAAAGTTCTATAAAGCTACAGCATAACTTGTCTATCCTTGTACTCAATGCCACTTCCAATGAAGGCAAGCATGCCATAGGCCTTTTTTACTACCTTATCTACCTGCACTGCCACCTTCAGTGATCTGTGGACCGGCACACCCAGATCTCTCTGCATATCAATACTCCTAATTATTCTGCTATTCACTGTATAAGTTCCACCTGTACTTGACCTTCCGAAATGCATCACCTCACATTTGTCCGGATTAAATTCCATCTGCCATTTTTCTACCAATGCCTCCAACTGATCTATATCCTACTGTATCACTCTGATGATCCTCCTCACTATCCACAACTCCACCAATCTTTGATTCGTCTGCAAACTTACTAATTAGACCAGCTACGTTTTCCTCCAAATCATTTATGTAAATCACATACATACTGAACCCTGTGGAACACCACAATCCCTCCATTCCGAAAAGCATCCTTCCACTGCTACCCTCTCTCTCCTATGACTAAGCCAGTCCTGTATCCATTTTGCCAGTTCACCCCTGATACCATATGACTTCACCTTTTGTATCAGTTTGCCATGAGGGACCTTGTCAAAGGCTTTACTGAAGTCCACGTAGACAACATCAAATGCTTTTACCCCATCAATCAGCTTTGTCACCTCTTCAAAAAACGCGATCAAGTTAGTGAGACATGACCTGACCCTGCACAAAACCATGCTGTTTATTGCAAATCACTCCATTTGCTTCTAAATGCTTATGGATCTTGTCCCTGAGAATCTTTTCCAATAATTTCCCTATCACTGATGTGAGGCTCACAGGCCTGTAATTTCCTGGATTACCCCTGTTACCCTTTTTAAACAACCGACAACATTAGCCATTCTCCAATCCTCTGGGACCTCATCTGTGGCCAAAGAGGATACTAGGATATCTGTCCATGCTCCAGCAATTGGTTCTGTTGCCTCCCTCAATACTCTGAGATAGATCCCATCAGGACCCAGGGACTCATCTACCTTGATACTTTTTAAGATGCACAACACCTGCTTCTTTTTAATAGCAACTTGGCTTAGAAATTTGGCACTCCCTTACCTGAGATCATCTTCCACCAATTCCTTCTCTTTGGTGAATACTAATACAAACTATTCGATTAAGACCTCACTCTGCCTCTTCTGCATCAACACAGTTTTCCTGATAAATAAATTAAACCTGGACCCTTATTATGAATTGGGAAGCAATATAAATGAAGAACAAAAACAGAAGTTGCTGAAAAGGCTCAGCAGGTCTGGCAGCATCTGTTATGAAAAATCAGAGTTTGCATTTCGGCTCCGGTGACCCTTCCTCAGAATATAAGTGAAAACATTAAATGACAACTTGAACATTCAAACAACTCTGTCAAAATATTGACAGAATTAAAGTAAGTGGATGTGCAGCAGGGAGTTAGGCAAACCATACAATGCAATGTCATAAAGCTCAAATTTTAGAAACATTTTGAAGGAAGAGATTAAATACTAAGGTGAAGAATTTTAGAGAGAACATTGTACTATATGTAGCAAGAGTGGATTGGACAGTGGGAGTGCTGCTGTCAGGAACATTGAAGTTGCTACAGCTAAACTATGAGGAAGGTAGAGGTCTGAAGTGATCGAGATATCCGTAAATTAAAATGATGTATTGGGAACATGAGGTGATGATATGGGGACAGGCATGGTTGGGGATAGGAATTTATTAGGAGGATATTATGCAAGTTATATGTGTTAAAACATTGACAAAGATGGTACTCAGGAGTTTGGAGAAAAAAAAAATGAATTATGTTTGGAGACAATGAAGTTGCAGCAGCAGTTATGATGAGATCAGGAAGTTGGAGGTGGAAATCGATGGTCTTTGGTGGTGGGTGAAACATGGAGTTTGAAAAATAACCCAGGGTTAAATCAGAATATTGAGATTGTGCGCAGTAAAGTTTGTGATGAGTGGTTCCCAGAGCGAGGGGAGGAGATTAAATGTAAGGCACACAGATTCTGGTAGGAATTGCTGATCTTCAACTAAAAGAAATTATTGCTCTATCCAGGATCAAGTTGTCAATGAGTTAGAGTGGTGCATATGGGAAAGATTTAAGTGCCTAGATATGTATAAAAGCCGCCTTGTGGCTATGAATAATATTTACAAGGGACAGCATATACATGAGGAAAATGAGGGCAAGAATCTCACCTGAGGATACAACCGAGGGACCTGTGAAAGATGAGAGCAGAAGTTGTTGCAATAGGTTTGCTGATTCCATTAAGACATTAGATGTGGAATCAGGCTAGGGCAGTCTAGGATTTGGCTGTTAGAGGAGAGGCAGTGCAGAATGCCTGAGTAGCTAACTGTATCAAACACGAATACAAGTACAGATTAGTAATGCTCTGCTGTCGCACCAATAAATGACATATTGGTTGCTTAGACCAGGGCAAGCTACAAATAGAATTGAATGAATGTCAGGAGGGAGTTATGATATGAGGATGCACTGGGTACATCCATGTGTCTGAGTCAGAAACTTTAGCTTCAATTTTCATTCCAGAATTTCATAACATGGCTAAATAGGTCATTTGTCAATTTATAAATCCTTCAAACACATGCCTATGACAGGCAATTAAGAGCAGGAGAGATTCCTAGTTAGCCATGGAATTGGAATCCCTACCATCACTATCGGTAGTTCCAGGCTTCTACATGTGTCCAATTTGAACTTCTTGAGGACCTGGTCACCTGGAAGGCTGTTGAAAATCAGTCTGGTGCCAACAACATGGGGTTTGATCCCTGTTCCAGCAGGGATGGATTCAGGACCTGTCTCTTTGTCTTATCTGTTATGGAGAACACAGCCCTGTGGCTTTCACCTGCCTTCCAGCAGAGAACAAAGGAAGTCGTTACAAAGACAATTGGGCAGGAAACTGGCAACTATTGAAATGTTCAATATTTTAGTGATGAATGAAAGCTTGGGGATTTGACAGTATTTGGAGACGGTGGAAAGATTATTGTTGGACTTTATTGACAGCAATCGTGAAGGGTGTAGGACAAAACTTAATCCGATTTTTCTTAATGACTCAAAAGCAGATATGAAACAAAAACAGAAATTGCAGGACACACTCAACAGGTCTGGCAGATTCTGTGGAAAGAAAACAGTTAAGGCTTGGAGTTCCAGTCTTCTTCAGAACGTCTATGAACCTATTTTCCAAATTCTGTAACAATTTGATTCCCAGTATTTTATTTCAATCCACTACAATCCATTTATTAGTGGATTAATTTCTCAACATTGAAAATCAGAGAGGGAAAATATCGCATTCTGTGTAAAACTGTGTGCAGTATTTAATCAGACAGGAGTTTACTCTGACAGTCAATAAGGTACAATGAGGAAACAAGAGAGGAGTAACAGTGTTTGGTGGTAGTCAGTTTATTTCTGTGATCGGTTCATACGAGAACCTGGTTGCTGAAGAACGAAGGCTGGCAGGACCTGCAGAGAGCGCCTACCCCGATTTATAATACGCACCGATTTCCAACTGGTGTATGTGTTCAGCAAAGTAGGTAATCCGTGTGGGTCTTTAAGACCCAGAGCCCGAGACGCAAGACGAGTAGTATCCATGGTAAAGCAATGACGCTGGCTTTAACTAAGCTTATTTAATAACAAGATCGTCAGATAGCCAGCAATTCGGAACTACTGCTGAAACCATTAGCTTCCTGTATGTGTGTGTGTGTGTGTGTGTGTGGGTGAGAGTGAGAGAGACTCCTTTTCACCCGAATGAAGTTTCCGATACCTACAACACTCAGAATCTCAGCTCTCAGTTTGGTGAATAGCTGTCTTGTCCCTGTAATGAATTCAGGCGGCAATTAAGGAATTACACATCTTCAAACTATGTCGCCTCAACAGGATAACATTGGTCAGAGCCGTTCTTCTTCGTTGACGGGGGAATCTCGAATATCGGGCTGTGGAGGGACAGAAGAGAAGAAGGTAGTTGCGAATTTTAATCACTCTGTATAAAACGTGGATCAGTCTGCTTTCTGCAAATCCCGCTTCTCCGCAGGATGGGAGGCACTGTACAGATTAGTCCAGACAAGTACTTGTTGGTATGTGATTGTTCCCTGTGTAGGATTTTTTTTATAAATACCAAACAGAATGAGATGTTTCCAGCTATTGGTCTGTAGTAGTGTTCACGACGTAAATATGTTCCACTCACACGATTTGCATTGGGATTAGGTAAAGGGAACAGCAGATAAGGACGATTCTAAAACAAAGTTTTGTCAGTCTTTGCTGTTAACTTCAATTATACAAACGCCAATTATCGTTTAGACACAAAGAAAATACTTAGCATGTTGATTTTTTCTGGCATGTTTATGAAGGTTGTAAACAGAATGTATCAAAGCTGACGGCTAGTAAACTGTATAGTTTCAATGTTATGCGATCAAAACGCAACATTTTTTGACAAATTCTCCGGCTCGTGTTTTGGGGGCATGGTGGCATGTAGAAAATAGTCAACCTACTGAGGAAAAGAAACAGTCTAGCACTTGGATTGTCTATCCTTGCGAGTATGGAGAGAAAATGGATCATTGTAATCCAAAACACTTCTTTGTAAACAAGTGATAATTGGATTGTTCCAGCACTAATCGAGCCCAAGTGGGTAATTTGGCCTCAGGTAGGGTGGGCCAAGCCATTCAGTTCAAAGACCGGTGTCCTGTGGATTTGTTTGAATGTCACTACAAATGTGTGGCGAAACGCTACTTCTAAGTTTTAGAATGACTGGCCGCCCAAGGTGATGATCAGAGATAGTAGGAACTGCAGATGCTGGAGAATCCGAGACAACAAGGTGCAGGGCTGAATGAACACAGCAGGCCAAGCAGCATCATAGGAGCAGAGAGGCTGACGTTTCGGGCCTAGACCCTTCATCAGAGATACACTTTTTAAGAAGAACGTTTGTTCTGATTCATCGTGAGAGGATTTTGAATGCTATGTCTGTGACTGTCAAAGCGCGTAAGTCAGAGACTCCATGGTAACAAACTTTTTAAAAAAAGGCTCTTTTGTTTGAGGTTGGTTTTGACATTGGGCATTGGAGGGAGAGAATAGGCTTTGCAGTTTTGTATCTAATTTTATATACTTACAATAATTCATCGTTTTTTTTTGCCCCTTGAGTAAGGAACGGTTTCTGAACTATCCAGTCAGCCAAAATGAGGTGATTAAGGATTTTATTTGACCCCTGAATTCATTACCTTTACCCAGATATCGAGCAAATAAAATACGGGCCACACAATTGTACATAAAGTTGGTGATGCACAGCCTAAGGAAAAGACGTGAAGAACCAAATATATAGCAGTTTATATTGCTGAGAGAATTGTGTGTATGTGCAGATGTGTACCTTACTCTGTTTTAGATGTCAGGAATTCTCTCTGTACGTCTACTAGAGAGGGGCTATTCACGTGATAAACTATGTTTATTATAAACATTGAGAAAATAGCCACAAAATATTGTCATCTTTCACTTTTTAAAAATAATATCATGTAAAGTAGTAAAACAATGATAAGAGCTAACTGAGGAGCACTGAATATGGCATCATGATTTAGAGAAGTGTAAAGTGAAGTGTTGGAGGTTGATTGTTGACGGAGCTGGCGGAGACCGAAAGGTGTGAGCAATGCATTGCTGGGATGTTTAGCATTGCTTAACCTCCCTTTGGGCTAGTTTGTCAATATTTGCTCCAGAAACAGTTTCTAAAATAACCATATTGAAACTAAAATATTTCTAAACATTAAGGTTTTACATTCTTATGAACACAAATATAGCCCTTAATGGCATTATGTGTAATTACAGTGTGGAAACTTTTTAGCCCAATAATTCTGTTTTTGATGTATATCTGCAATATGATCAATAGTCCAAATCCCATGTATTTGCTTTGTTCCCTATCTAACCTGTTATTAAATATTGACATGCTGTCTCCCTCAATCACTATCTCTGATATTGCATTCCATAGTCTAACAGCCTTCTAGAAAATAAGATTTCTTTCTTTTATTATCTGTTCTAAATTTAAATTAGTTCATTTTATCTAAGGCCCTTTGGTTCTAAGTCACTCAATTGCTGAAAAGAGCATACTTCAATTTATTGTATTCCATCCTTTTGTAATTTTAAACATCTCTATCAAATAACTTTTTAATTTGCTCTGTACCCTTTTTTTATTCATTCATGGCTTTGAGTGCTGCTGGCCAGGCTAGCATTTATTACCCATCCATATTTAACCTCGAGGAGGAGGTGGTGAGCTTCCTTCTTGAACCGCTGCAGTCCATTTGCTGTTGGTAAATCCACAATGCTGTTAGGGAGGGATTTTGATCTGACAATAGTGAAGGAATGAAGATATATTTCCAAGTCAGGATGGTGAGTGGCTGGGAGGGGAACTTGTAGGTGGGGGCATCCCCCTGTATCTGCTGCCCTTGTCCTTCTAGGATTGTAGTGGTTGTGAGTTTTTGGAAGGAGCTGTCTAATTTATTCATAGCTATATTTCCACATACCAGATACCATCTTGCTGTGGTATTCCTCATACTAGATACCATTCTGCATTGTGCTGGTTATACAACCTCAACGTGTCATGAATTGTTAAGCTGAAAACTGCATGCTGTACTCCAGTTATACCTTACTGAGGTTTCTTCATGATTTACCACTATACCTTGCTTTTATAATTCAATTCAATTTGTCTGAATGCGGTTTGCCTTGATTACATCACACTTCCATTTTACTGAAATTCAACATCCCACATGTATAGGTATTAAATTCCATCTGCAATTCCTTTGTGCATTGTGCCATGTTAGCCATTACTCCTTGCATTTTCCTTTGAATTTTAGAGTAATTTATATCAATAGTTCAGTATCATCTGAAAATCCAACTTTCAATCTAAATTATTGATGTATACTGTGAACAGAAGAGGTCCAAGAACAGAACTCTGTTAGACATGGTTACCCACTGCCATCCATTCTGAGAAACTGCCCTTAATCCTATTCTTTGCTTCCTCCCTTCACACCAGTTTTTAATCCAATTTGCTACCCTTCCATTAATTTTATATCCGTTAATCTTCTCCAGTAGTTTCCTGAGTGTTAATATCGAACAGAAGAAAAAAAATCTCCTGGGGGTGACTGAAATGACCTACTGGCTATATGGCTGTTCAGTTTCTCTTTATGCTCCTTAGAATACTTGCTACCAAATTTTAAATGAAAGTTTCTGCAGAATAGTTCTTTTTACATTACTGATCTATCCTTCATTCCCTTCTCCACTCTCACTGGAACCATGACCACACACACACGTGGCTTTTAGAGTGGACAACAACAGTAATATTGTTTTCATCATTGTTTCATAGTCACTTAATGTGCCCTTTTTGACTTTCTTCTGCTCTCTACTCAACAGTTTCCCAGAGTAGGGAAGGCATATAAGACCAAGATCTGAGTAAAATTAAGCATCATTCCAAATTTAGGTTAAAATACCAAGGCATAAGGAGCCAAAGGGGGAGGTCAATTAAAGATGGGGTGTAGATCACACATGTTCCAATTGAATTAATGAGCAGGTTTTAAGGGCAGTAGGTTCTTTTCTTTGGTGGTCTTAGCAGGAAATACATTGTATTTATATGAAGGTAGTGCACGATTGCACAATAAATAGAACCTTCTGTCAAACATTGACAACGAAAAATATTTTCCAGGCTCCAAGTAACTTGTACTTATTGGGCAGACTCTATTTTTGCAGTCACTTTGTGGAAGTTAGTTTTATTTTAAATTTCATTTAATATATAGTGGTGGGCTTTCAAAGCAAATGCTGTTCACTTGATTCAGTATCTATTTAATGTAGCTAGTCAATAATATAAGGAAACAGCAAGTAGTGGAATTCTCTATAATTTTGAGAATTTGGGAGAAAATTCAGGCATTTCTAACAGCAAGTGGAGCATGTTTCTTTGTAGTAAATAATATACAACGTTTCAAGAAAAGCTGAAAAAAAAATTTCCTTCAAAGGAGGGAATATCTCAATGTCGAAACCATTCTATGATCAGTTGCGGCAAGGAGCAATCCGGATCAGGTGAAACAAAACTGCCAAAAATCTACATTGTTGTTAATGGCTGCCAGCCAACATGACACTTAAAAATGTATTGTTTTCAAATGTGTTTTTACTGAGCAGAAGGTACACATTGATTTGGGATGCAATTAGTTAAGGAATAGTCTATGTATTGACTGTGGGTTGCATAGAGGCTGAAGTTTTCCTTCAGCGCTTTAGGAATGTAAACGGTGTCAAATCTAAAAGAAGGAATCCCAGCTCCCACCATATCCCAAATTGGCTTCACATCTACAATGTGAAACTAGAATGTCTATGGACTTGTGCAATTTAACAGGATATCATTAAAATGAATAAAATGTTTTGCCATCAAAATAATCTGATATGATCACACATTGCTTTGCCAAGGTTAATTTCTAGCCTATGCTGCTTTTCTCCAGGAAAATAAAATGCATTGTACACTGAGAATCTTACAAACATACAAAATAGAAACAGAAGTCAACCATTTGGCCCCTCAAGTCTGCTCTGCTATTCAATAAAATGATGGAAGAACTGTTTCTGTTCTGAATGCCACATTCCCATTTACCCCAAAAACTTTTGATTCCCCTGCCTGAAAAGAATTTATCCTCCTCTGTATTTAAAAAAATGTCCCATGACTGCCCTTCCACTATCTTTGAGGCAGAGTTCCAAAATCGCTCAACCATCTGAGAGGAAAACAAAATCTCCTCCTATGTGGTCCTAAAAGAGTAACCCTAATTTTAAAAAAATGCCCTTAGTTCTGGACTGATCCACAGGAGGAAACATCAAGCCCATTCTTATATGCTTCAATTAAGTTCCCCCCACTCTTCTAAACTCTAGTGGAAACAACTTTAACTGTCAATTGTAATTATTACCTGCTTAAGTTGTGCGAGGGCAATTTCTGTCAACAAAAATCAGGACAATGTGAAAATGTCACTAAAACATAGTAAGAGCCCTAGGTGCAGGCTGAAACTTTTGTGATCTGAACACCGTGATGATACCAGAAATATTTCCTTACCATGTCAAGTGTACTGCAGTAATACGCGCAATAGAAACATAGAAATTTATATTACAGAAGAACATTTACCCTATTGTGACTGTTAATACTTTGCATGATGGCAGTAGTAACTTACATAAATATTGAACTATATCAATCAATTTGATGAGAATATCAACACTATATAATATTTTTGGAGTAAAATTCACCCTGAAGGTTCTTGTATCTGTGCATTTGAAACAGCAATCAATGCAATTCAGCAATGCCTGCTATTATTCTGATTCTCAATGATCCTGCAATATCTGGTATTGGATTAGTAATTTTTTACTCTTTTTTTTTTAAGGTGATTTAGTTAGTGATCAACATTTGCAGCTTTGTATCTGTCTATAAGTAATCACTAGATAATCACTTATTTTAATTCCAATTTTTTAAAAATGATAAATTGTCTAAACTTATGTTTAGAAGTCTGTACGGCTCTTCAGGTATTCTGTGGGTCTTTGTGTGGCTGATGAGCCTGATCCTGGATCTGCATACCTGACCTCACATTTGGCAGGTGCTTCTGGGAGGTGGACATGGTCCTTGGCCTTTAGATTGTTGGCATTCCTTTTCCGTACTTCCTCTTGCCAACGTGTATGATTGAAGAATTGTGTTCCTTCTCACCGGGGTTTCTTCAGAATGAGGGTTTCCTGTGCATTAACGTTTGTGTAGCATTTCTTGGGGGAAGTCTCCAGGGAGTCTTTGAAAAGTACCCTTTGCTCTCCTCTCATTTGAGTGCCTTCCTTGAGCTGGGTGAAGAAGATTTGCTTTAGTAGTTGGAACTCCGACACCCTAGCAAACTGAAATTTATAGTAGCAGCAATGTTGATAAGTTTTTCCACGTACACTGGACTTATGAAGAAATGCTGCTATAGGACTTCTCTTGGCTTGCGGATAGAATATTCCAACCATTTTTTATGTAAGTTCAAATTATTTGTAAAATGCTCCATGATCCACTTTAGTACAAAAGACTTCAATGTTAACTATTGCCTTATTTCTGTATTTTTCTCCTATTCTGTGAAGTAATGCTTAACTTTTTAACTCTTGTCATTACTACTTTGTACCTAAGGTTATTTTTGTACCTGGGTACCTTGCTACCTAAGATGGTGCCCTCTGTGGTGAGATTATGCACTTTTCACTGTACTTGAGTACATGTGGCAATAAAATCTAAAATCTAAATCTAGTCAACAGTCTCTGTAAGGTTAATTCTAACATTTGAAGTGAGACCAGTGTTGCCAGCAACATGATAGAAACCAACTAGAATCAGCTACCACATTAAGGAAGGGATTTATTGATTCTTAATTGAAATTTCTTTTTAAGGTTATTCATTCAATAATGTGCTTTTGACGGGTTCAGGTAGAAAAATACAATTAAGAATTGAAAGGAATACGGAAGGTTTAGAGGGGTGGTGTAAAAGTATATTAGAGAAACCAAGAAGGGTTATGAGAAAAAACTGTCATTCATTAGTTGCTGGATCTGCTCAATATTGAGCCCAATCAACATGGTGGTGGTGCCACACAACATAATGGAAGGTATCCTCAATGCGCAGGCAGGATTTAATCTCCACGAAAACTATGCAGAGGTCACTGCTGCCAATGCCGTCATGGACAGATGCATCTGTTAAAGGTGGATTTGAGAGGACAAATTCATGTATGTTTTTCCATCTTGTTGGTCCCCTGTCACAAACCCAGTCAAGCAGTAACGTCCTTTAGGACTCGAACAATCAGTAGTGATGCTAATGAGCCACTCTTGGTGTCGGACAATGAAGACCCCAACCAAAATATATTCTTTGCCCTTCCACCAGTGTTTCCTCCAAGTGCTGTTTAACATGGAAAACTGATTCATCAGTTGAAGGGGATGGTGGGTGATAATTGGTAGAAGATTTCCTTGCCTATGTTTGACCTGAAACTGAGACTTTGTGGAGTCTGGATTCCTTCCCAAATGTAAAACACTGTTCTGCTACCTTTGTTGGCTCTGTCTTGTTCCACCAACAGCATTGACCTGGGGCTGGTGATTGTTGTGCCTGGGACATAATCATTCTCTCAGGATCCTGTTTTGTATCAGATTTTGTAATGGTTAAATATAAATGAGTAGCAGAGGGCTGTTAAGAGTCAAGCACGTAGCAGTGGATCTAGAGTTGCATTAAGGCCGGACCAAGTGAGCTTGGCAGCTTTCCCTTCCCCAAAGGACATTAGTGAACCAAATATGTTTTTACAACAATCAACTATTTTTTCACTAGCTTTTAATTCCAGATTTACAATTTAATTCATGTTTCTGAATCTGCCATTGTGGGATTCAAACTCCAGTCCCCAGTGCTAACCCAGTGACAGTACCACTACTTCCCCTCAGCATTCTTCAGCTTGTATCAAACTTTCAAAACTTGCTGCTCTGACTTTGTGACACCGAGTTATTGTGTTTATAACCAAGCTCGCAGAACTGCCATCCTGCTATTGTTAGAATTGTTAATGCTGATTAGTTTATGAACTTTGAATTTCCCAGTAAAAACGTAACTGAGGATAAATTGGTTCATGCTGGTAACTGAAGCTTTGTTGCTTTTTTCTCTTTTTTGCAGATAATGAAAAATCTAGCCCAGAGACGACAGTCAGCACCTTCTTTGGTGATTAGCAAAGCCCTTAGCAAACCCAGATCACTATCCAGGTAAATCAAATCACTTTCTGCATACACACCTTACCATGTTATAAATTTCTTATTCATCTCCCTGTAGTTGCACATAATTCCCTGACTGAGCCAATGAATTGAATTCTTCTTCCCGGGCAGATTGATTATTTGATAATGGGTTGTTTGAAAGTGAGAAGTGAATTTCATTTTTCAATTGAGCTTTCATAAAGGAGATTGGATAAATAATTAAAACAGAAAATTATTGCAGGGAATTGGGAACTAGCTATATTATTATTTGAAACAGCTAGTACTGCCTTATTTGACAGAATGGCCTACTTTGTCGTGTTTTATGAATATTCAGCTTTTTTCTTTCCCTTCTTTGATGAAACTGTGAGCTTTCTAAGTGGAGAATCACTTGACAGAATACGCAATTTTAAAGTATAATATTTGCATTAGTATAATGATTTATTAATCTACTAGACTGCTAGCATAAGTCTGCATTGAAGTGATAACTCATTTAGATAAGTATATATTTTCACCTTTTGAGATGCAATATCTGACAACATGAAGGTGAGGCCACTGACAATGTGAAAAGTCATTTATACAGCAGGAAATTAAACCTAGTTTAATCATCAGTACAATGAGAGTCTCCATTTGAAATTAAAAATGAGTGGGGAAAAATACCACATACAAACTTGGAATTTTCTGAAGTTATCATTACCAGAACATGTAAAACAATTAAATATTTTGTGGCATTGACATGTCTGTAAAATCAACCTTTTTAAACTGATTGTTAACTTCTGAATGGAAAATAACCATACCCCACTTCCGGTTCTGTAGGAGCTTAACAGTACTATTAGCAAAATCCCTAAGTCATAGAGTCATAGAGCACAGAAACAGACCCTTCAGTCCAACTGTCCATGCTGACCAAATTTCCCAAACTAAACTAGCCCCACTTGCCTGCATTTAGCCCATATCCCTCTAAACCTTTCTATTCATGTAGCTGTCTGAATGTCTGTCTTTTAAATGTTGTAATTGCACCTGCATCTATGATTTTCTCTGGCAGTTCATTTTACATATGAACCACCCTCTGTGTGGGGAAAAAAATTGCCCCTCAGCTCCCTTTTTAAATCTTCCTCCTCTCACCTTAAAAATATGCCCCCTAGTTTGGAACTGCCCTACCTGAGGGAACAGACATTTACTATTCACCTTATCTATGTCCCTCATGATTTTATAAACCTTTTATAAGATCACTCCTCAACTTCCTACACTCCAGTGGAAAAAAGCCCCAGCCTATCCTGTTGCTCCTTCTAACTCAACGCTCCAGTCCCAGCAACATCCTGGTAAATCTTTTCCGAACCCCCTCCAATTTAATACTATTGTCTTTACCTAAGACATGGCCCACCTATTTTTGAACATCATGGTCTGGGGAAGATAAACAAGAACCAACAGACACTTCTTGGTCTTTGGTGCCACCAGAAATTTTATGCAACAAATACCTTTCAGGAAAAAAAAGCTGCAAAGTGCCCCATGGACGTTGGAGATCAGGGCACTGGCACCCCAAAATCCGGTTATCACTGGACATGATTCTGCATTGCATTCTCAACACACACAGCTACCACAGTTGGAGTTGTACAGCACACTGTTTAGGCCACAATGGGAGTACTGTGTGCAGTTCTGGTCACCTCACTACAGGAAGGATGTGATAGCACTAGAAGGGGTACATAGGAGGTTTACCAAGATATTAACTGAGATGGAGAAATTGAGAGCTATAAGGAGACACTAGATACACTTGGATTGTTTTCTTTACAGCAGAGAAGACTGTATGGGGGACATGATTGAGGTGTATAAGATCATGAAGGGTACGGACAAGGTGAATAGGGAGCAGGTTGAGGGCTCAATGATGAGAGAGCATAGTTTTAGAGGCAGGAGATTTAGAGGAGATTTGGGGGAAAAAGCTTTTCTACTCAGCAGGCAATGGGAATCTGGAGTGCACTGCCTGGGAAGGTAGTGGAGGCTGGAAATCTTGCAACATTTTTCAAAAAAAAATTTGGATGAGTACTTCAAATACCACAACATTTGAGATATGGGACAAGTGCAGGAAATTAGGATTACTGCACTTTTAGTTTTGTCAGTCAATGGGCCAAAGGGCCTTTTCTGCGCTGTATGAATCTATGGCATCTCTATTGACTTATCGTGTTGACCTAATTTGACAATTCACTTTAGCCAGCACTGTTTTAATGCCCTCCTTATTCCCAAATTTAAGGTTACTAAAATAGTCTTGGACCCACTCCTCTCTCCCTCAAAGTGAATGTAAAATTCAGTCATATGAGTACTGCTATCTGGTTATATTCACTATGAGGTCATTCATTCATTCTATCACATTGCATAATACCAGGTCTAGTAGAGCCAGTTCTCTGGTCAGCTCCACAACATACTGTTCTAAAAAAACTATCTGAAAACATTCTACAAAATCCTCATCTAGGCCATTTTTGCCCATTTGACCTACCATTCTATATATACAGATTAAAATCTCCTGTGGGATTACCTTTCTGAAAGCTATCATTACTTCTTCCTTTGTGCTCCAAGTTACTGTGTGGTTACTATTAGGGACTGTGTACACCACTGTCAAATGTTTTCTTGTCTTTATATGTCTCTCTTTTTTGGTTTCCTAACTGATATCATCCCTCTTATTACTGCGCTAATAGCAGCATTAACTAATAGAGTCACACCTTCACCTTTTTTTACTTTCCTGGTTATTCCTGATGTCCTGAAGCCTTCAAGATTCAGATCCCAATCCATGTCATTCTGCAACCATGTCTCTGCAACCATGTAACTCCTAGATTGTACTTATTCAATTCTATTTGTGCTGTCAGTTCATCTATTTTGTTTTGAATGCTATGTATGTTCTAATACAGAGCCTTTAGATTTATCCTTTTACTTTTCTAGTCCTACCTGGTGGTTAACTTTTAGATTTGTACCCACTGTCCCTTTCTATCACTCTGTTGATCATCTCTCAGCTTCCCCTTTGGGTTTGACTCTTGAATCTTCCCTCTTGATTTCCAAAGTCCAATGATTTGTCTCCAATATTTAGTTTGAAATCCTCTCTACTTCTCTGGTTACATGATTGGCAACAGCACCAGCTCCAACACAGCCAGGTGTAGATTGTACCATTGGAATAGAACCCACTGTCCCCAATAGTGCTGCTGGTTTCCTAATTGACAGAACTCTTATTCACCTCCCCCCTCCCTTCCCCCATCCCCCCGCCCTGGGGCCCATGTGAATTTCTGTCCGAGGATGGGTACGCGCGAATGGGATTCTATTGCACACCTGAGCATCTTCCACTGGTGTGCACGATGTTAGGCCTGAGCAATGCCATTTTCAAGCGCTGGCTAATTTTTATATGCTCCTGAGGCCTATCTGGCTCACTTAAAGAGCATCTACTTTCAACTATTTCTTAATTAAGCCTAACTGCTCATTTACTGGAGGCCTTGCTAAAACATTGCTTAAGGCTGACAATTATAGAACTTAAACTGTAGATTTCAGTTCAATGTCAATTACAAACCAAATGTATAAAAATTGTAGAAAAAATGATGTATAACAACAGCCAGCACGAAGAATGAGCAGAATATATTTATGAATGAAAGAAGTAATAGGGTTGTTGTCATGGGTGACTTCAATTTCCCTAATATCGATTGGATCCTCCTAAGTGCAAATAGTTTGGATGGAGCAATTTCTGTCAGGTGTGCCCAGGAAGGATTTCTGACTCAAATGTAGATAGGCTGACTAGAGGGGAGGCCATATTGGATTTAGTGCTTGGCAACAAACCAGGCCAAGTGTCAGATCTCTCAGTGGGAGAGCATTTTGGTGACAGTGATCACAACTCCCTGACCTTTACTATAGTCATGGAGAGGGATAGGAGCAGACGGTATGGGAAAGTATTTAATTGGGGGAGGGGGAAATTACAATGCCATCAGGCAGGAACTGCAGAGCATAAATTGGGAATTGATGATCTCTCGGAATAGCACGACAGAAATGTGGAGGTTGTTTAGGGAACAGTTGCTATGAGTATTGGATAGGTTTGTCCCACTGAGGCAAGGAAGGAATGGTATGGTGAAGGAACCTTGGATAAGTAGACATGTGGAACATCTAGTCAAGAGGAAGAAGGAAGCTTACTTAAGGTTGAGGAAGCAAGGATTGGACAGGGCTCTAGAGGGCTACAAGATAGCCAGGAAGGAACTGAAAAAATGGACTTGGGAGAGCTAGAAGGGGGTATGAAAAAGCCTTGGCAGGTGGGATTAAGGAAAACCCCAAGGCATTCAATACCCTTGTGAGGAACAAGAGGATGGCCAGATTGAGATAAGGGCCGATCAGGCATAGTGGAGGGAACTTGTGCACGGAGTTGGAGGTGGTAGGGCAGGTCCTTAATGAATACTTTGCTTCAGTATTCACCAATGAGAAGGACTTTGATGTTTGTGAGGACAGCGTGAAACAGGCTGATCTGCTCAAACAGGCTGATATGCTTGAACAGCTTGATGTTAGGAAGGAGGATGTGCTAGATATTTTGAAAAACATGAGGATAGATAAGCCCCCTGGGCTAGACGGGATATACCCAAGGTTACTACGGGAAGTGAGGGAAGAGATTGCTGCGCCTTTGACGATGATATTTGTGTTCTCACTGCCCACTGGAGTCGTACCAGATGATTGGAGGGTGGAAAATGTCATTCCCTTGTTCAAGAAAGGGAATAGGGATAATCCTGGGAATTACAGACCGGTCAGTCTTACTTCTGTGGTGGGCAAATTATTGGAGAGGATTCTGAGAGATAGTATTTATGATTATTTGGAAAAGCACAGCTTGATTAGAAATCGTCAGCGTGGCTTTGTGAGGGCAGGTCATGACTCTCAAACCTTATTGAATTCTTTGAGAATGTGACAAAACACATTGATGAAGGTCGAGCAGTGGATGTGGTGTATATGGATTTTAGCAAGGCATTTGATAAGGGTCTCCGTGGTGGGCTCATTCAGAAAGTAAGGAGGTG